ATTTTATAGGTATAAAGAAAAACCTTTGACTCTGGGGTTCATGGAATGTCTGACCTTGAATAAATCAGTTAATTTTCTCCTGTTGCCTTCCTCATCTGTAAAGTGGATTAATAATTATTTTATGGGGACATTTGAGGTTAGATGAGTTAATCATATAAAACACTTGGCACTTATAGGGCCTGGCTACCAGTAAGCATGGGAATACATTATCTGTTGGCATTAAAAACAGAGAAATCTTGTTTGTGGTTCCATGTTATGACATCTGAAAAGTGCTTCAAAGAAAATTCTGTCTTTTCCATTAACTCCCACTCCATAGTTACATTCCAGTACAATGATTCTAGTGACAACTTAAGCCACCAAGAGACCAGGTACATCATTGGGCTTTTGTTAGTGTCTCGAAAGTTTGGGTTCATTGTGACCATATTCATTCATTTGATTTTTGTTTGTAGTGCCCTTCTTCTTGGAACTGCAAGCCCCTGAAAACTGCTTTCTTCCCTTCTTCTACCTCTAAGTATTTGCTTGGAGACCTGCATATTTCTCCTGTCTTTTATTTTCTAGGATGATTACAGCATCTGCTTTGCTAGTCTACTGTAGGCATTGCACAGGGAAAATTGTGGTTCTTTTATTCTTAGATTAAAATAGTTTTAAAGCTTAAGTCAAATTTTGTGTCACATATCTGCAGCAAAAGTTCTTTATTAATACTTACACATGTTTGGAACAGTTTCTATATGTGGTCATTGCAAAAACCATTTTACTGTCCTGTTCTTTTAATTAATATTTTTATCTGAGTTTCTCAAATTCATTCCCTGTAGAATGACTTAGTTTTAAATTCCAGGAATATATATATATATTCTGTGTATTATTAGAAATAGAGGAAATATAACATATAGTATGTTAATTTTCAATACTTTAATGATCCCTGATGTATATATAATAAGACTTATTAGGTTGTAAAATGAGCACATGCACAGACATACTTTAAAATAGTATTTATATGTGTACAGTTATGTATGCTGCATTAATGTAAACTAAATGTCATGATCATGGAGAAAACTACATTAAAGTGATCCTAATGATTAATTGTGAGCCATGACATGTATGTGAATCTTTTCATATTTGATTGGTTATTTTCTGATGGTAATAAGGCCATGTAAACAAAATGCAGGACGTTGGCTGTAGTGTAATAGTTGAAATGTTTACATACATAAAAGGGTCAGAGTGAATTTATGCTCTCAAGATGGCTGTTGGCTGCTAATACTGAATCCATATTCTTAAAGTGATCTATGGAACCATAACTGAATGCCACAGAGACTTCTTGTTTATTGATTCTCCTATCTTGAGTGTATTAAATGCTCACCTGAGACTGCAGTTCTAAGGCTTGTCTGCTTTTCTTCAGAGTTAGACATGTGAGCATCATGAGCTTACTCCTTTCTTAAAAAATACTGTTTTGTCTGTGTTTGTTATAAATACACACAGATTCACACACACACATATACACATGCACACAGAGAGAGACTGACATACACACATACCTAACACTGGGAGAGACTCACACACACACACACACACACACACACACACACACACACACACACACACAGTTCCTTCCCTTTCAATTGATACTTGGAGATTGATAGTTGTCACACACAGAGACAGAAAGAGAATGCGTGCCATGATACCTGTGTAGTGGTCAGAGGATAGTTTCACAATACAGTTCTCTCCTTTTCCATAGTTACACAGGGCCAGAGCTGAGGTCATAAGGCTCGCACAGCAAGTGCTTCTACTTGATGGACCATCTCAACCCATTTTTCAGTTTTTGTGTATGCATAAAAAGACAGAATCAATGTGAGATGGTGATTTAAAATTGCATCTTTTCATTAAAAGTGCAGTATTATATTGTTTGCTTGTTTAAAAAAAGTGATCACAGATTTATCAAACTACTTGAAAAAACTCGATTTATATTTATACTTTTTTGCATCAGTTGAAGTGGCTTGGTTCTGTATTTTGTTTTCCAGCAGGCTTAGCTCCCATAACAGTTTCTGAGGAAGGAGTCCTGTGTGGCTTCACAGCCTCTTCCTGCCGCCATTTGTCAGCCACTTTTATTATAATGATGAGAAATCCTACTCAATGCTTTTTCTTTTTTGGTTGTTGTTTTTAATTTTCCTCTTTTAAATGAATATTTTATTTCTCCTTTCTTTCTGTTTATATTTCTATAAGGAAGTAAGTTAATGTGTCTTATAGTTGCTCAAAGTGATTGTCTACTTCAGTTTTAGGTGGCATGATCTACTCTTATAAGCTGAGCCCAAGGGATAAGGGACCAGCAGTGAGTGCTCTTCTTCTAAGTATTTCCATTTAAAGAGACCTTTTCAGTGTGCCTCCCTTTTTTATAATTATGGTGTGCCAGTTAGTTTTTGTCAGCAATACAAACTAGAGATGCCTAAGAGGAAGCAACCTCAACTGAGGAATTGTTTTAAATCAGATCACCAAGGCTGTAGGGCATTGCATTGATTGATAATTGAGGTAGGTGCCCCAGCCCACTGTGGTCACTGTTATGTGTGGGCAGGTGATTGCTAATTGAGGTAGGTAGCCCAGCCCACTGTGGTCACTGTTATGCCTGGGCAGATGGGCATGGGCTACAGAAGGTATCTGCTGGGGAGCATAGGGAGCAGCTAGTAAGTAGCATGCCTCTGCTGCCTGCCTCCAGGTACCTACCACGGCCTCCCTTGGTGATGGACTGTAGTCTATAAGCCAGACAAACCTTCCCTTAACCCAAGTTGCCTTTGGTCAATGTTTATCACAGCAACAGAAAGCAAACTAGACCACATGGTTATATATCAACAAATTTTATCTACAGAACTACAATATTATAAAAAACCAAGTCAGTGCCTGATGATAACAATGGATAAACTTGGACTTCTTTCCTAAGGAGGCATGTTCTGGAATGTGTGTCAATGTGGAGAAATGTGTTGAGTGTGGCATGGCTGTGTCAGGATTTAACCTCTGAAGGTTTCTAGAGGACTGATGTAGTCGGGTGGCATTATATTCTGCTTATGAACCCAGAATACTTCGTTTGGAATCTTACTTCCTGCCTATAGCTCATCGTTGCTAACACAATTGTTTTGAGTTGGCACAGGTCTCTGGTTACAGAATCTGAGAGATGGGTATTCTGTGCTTTGCTTATCAGACTATTCTTACAGCTCATAACTTGGCTTCTCATCTGGGCTACAGAGGTAGGCATTTCAAGTTTCCTAAGAAATCATTAGTGTTTGCACTTATAATCTTAGCATTAGAAGCAATGAAAGCCTTACTCTTCCTGTAATGCTCTTCAGATACTCTATTTAAAAAACACAGCAAAAACAATAACAACAACATAATTTTGAAATATTTAAAGTTTAGTGAAGGGGAATTATTTCAGATTTTTAAGTTTATCATTGTATCAACTTGGGTTTTTGTAAAGTTGTGATTTTGGGCCAAGACCTTTATATAGATGCCTTAAAGAATCATTATTTACTAGTGTGCTCTAGCTTTTCACCAGGGGTTAAAGGGAAGGCCATATGGCAATCATTTCTATTAGCTTTGGTAAAATGGCAATTGCATTCTGTGGGTTCTGTTAGCTCTAATTCTTAATAAAGATTCATTTGATAAAGGCTTAAAGCTTTATCCTTGTAGGATTTCCAACTGGTATCTGTTCCTTTACTAAGTGCTTTACAGCTTAATGCTTTCCTTCTTTTTGGTGGTAAAAATCATAGAATCAAGTTGCTTTTAGCTTGGCTGTTCTTTCAAATCTCTACTGATGCTTTACTTCACTTTATTTGTTCATTCACATTCTTTTCCCATTGTTATAATTCTTTATTTTCATACTTTTCCTGGAACTAGGCAATTCACAAACAATTGAAAGAGTTATATCACCATTCAATTTAATATCAGGCTGTTTCTTTTTAAACTAAGCATGTAAAATAAAAGTCGGAAATAATCTATATCATAAAGCAAATTTAATGAATTCCATGTTCAGCTCTGAACACAGCCACCCAGAGACTAGGATGCTTCGGGAAATGGGAACAGAGCTGGAGCTCTTCTCCAGGTAGCACTTAGTATCTTTCAGTATTTTACTGACCTGAGGATGCACACTAAGCATGGAAAGTTAAAAAGGCAAAGGGATCAGTGCAACCAACCCATCTCCGATCCCACTATGATATTCTGAAGTGATAACTGTGAGAGTTTCATATTTCTGCTTTAGGAATTTTACATTACAGTTTAAACTATCTACAGTTGTGAAAGTACCTCCAAGATTATTCTCCTCTAGAATATTTTTGGCCTTACTTAAGTTCGAATATGCTTTTCAAGTTGGTTGGGTAATTCATTTTTTTTGCATTGTAATTTGATTCCAGAAAAAAATATGAGATGGGTATTCTGTGAGTTAGAATAAAAGTGACAACTATTTATATGAGAAGACCTTTGTTTTGTGTTTAAAAGTTTTATTAGTGTGCTAGGTAGTGTTTGTCCATTTGACACAAACCTACCATATGTGAGAAGAGGGACTCTCAATTGAGAGAAATGTCTCCATAAGACTGACCTGTAGGGTCTTTTATTGATTATTAATTAATATTGATAAATGTGTATTGATAATTAATAATGTAGAAGGGCCCAGCTCACTGATGGTGGTGCCATAAGAAAGCAGGCAGAACAAGCTATGGGGAGCAAGCCAGTAAGTAGCACCCCTCCATGGCCTCTGCTTCAGTTCTTGCTTCCAGATTCCTGCCCTGCTTGAGTTCCTACCTTGACTTTCTTCAGTGACTGACTGTGCTCTGAGAGTTGTAAGACAAAATAAACCTTTTTACTGTGTAAGTTGATTTTGGTCATGGTATTTTATCACATCAGTAGAAACCCTAACTAAGACAACCAGTATAGCATATTTTCATTGAGATGAATTATTTCTCTTCAGATGTATCTTACTTTGGTAGAAGTAGACTGAGTCATCAAATTTACTTGCTCCTCTACAGGATCCTGGATACTGGGTGAAGATTCATCACTTAGAATACACTGATGGAGGAATTCTGGATCCAGATGATATCTTAGCAGATGTTGTTGAAGACAAAGATAAGGTAGATGACTCTGAAAATGTTCTTTATTTTCCTTTACTAAACAGCATATTTTCAAGCCACTGGCGTTCTTCACAAACACATGTGTCAGTTATTAGTAAAACATGCCATCTGTTCAGGTTTCACCTGTACAGCTCATAAATCAAAGTTCTTCATCAGATGTGTGTTTGAAGTTTGTCAAAGTTTGAGAACTTGTTTGTAGTGGCCTAATTAGCAGATTCTTCATTCTCCAGAGTTCCCAATACATCTCAATAAGTGTCAGCCACAGAGACTTCTGGAAATGCTACTGTTACTGACTTTGAAGCTTATTCCAGACAGTTGCTAAATATTCATCTTAATGCCTGAGGTTGGAAAGTATTTTGTGTTTACATTGGAAAATATAGGGGAGTATGGATGACTCTTGAAGAGCTATGGTGTAGATTTTTCTCGAAGTAAATGGCACACTATATTGTGTGACTGTCTTTCTTCCATTGTTAACTGCTACCCCCATTCTAAAGGAAAAATTAGAGCACTTCATTGAGTATTTAAGTAACTTTAAAAATCTTGTTACTTATTTGGGAATAATTCATCACAAATGTAGAAGTTTAATGGAATTTTGCTTTTTACTACTTTAAGAAAGATATAAAAGTAAACTATTTGGTGGCAATACTCTGGATTATTGTAATTAGAACATTCAGATTCTGTTGTCCTCAGAAATGAAATTGCTTCCAAGGTTTCTTCCATATACTCTTAGCACTTAGCACTGTTTATCATAGGTTTAGTCATATTTGTGGCATGGTTCTCTGATTGTTTTTCTGAAGTTTCACTCTGTGTGTGTGTGTGTGTGTGTGTGTGTGTGTGTGTGTGTGTCAAACTTACATTCATCTTTGCAAACAGATACTTTGTATTTTTATATTTTCTCTTAGCACTTGGCTTGTCTGGCTTTGTGTGGTAGTCAGCCATTTCAACAGGGCGTTGTGTCTTATTATGTCTCTCAGTAGATTGTCAGCTCCTAGAAGGCAGGGACTAAAGATTCTCAGCTCTTTTGTGTTCCTTGGGTTGATAGTATCTGCTTCGGTATATAATGACTGTTCTTTTGTTGTGGTTTCTGGAGATAGGTTTCATTCTAGCTGGTCTGTTTGGCCCTGAGCTCAAGAAATTCCCAAGTCAGCCTCTTGAGTACTGAGCTACAGTGCATAGCTAAAGAATATCATATGAATCCTGCCCCCTCATAACAGCAAGAGAGAGGTATTTACTTGCCTTTTTCAGTTCAGTTTATGCTTCTTCCAAGGAACCACCTTTTTCCTATGAGGTAGCTGAGATATTTGGCTTGATTTTTTAATGAAGAAGGCAACCCCCACCTCAAGTTCTACTGCCAGTGTATTTATAGAAAAAAAAAAAAGCAGAAAAATGCTCCATTTAAGAAGGGATAGAAGAAACTCTTTCACTGTAGCCTTTTCCCAAACCCCATTTCAGGAAGGGAGAGTCTGTTAACACCTGGGGAGTGTCCAACCCAGCACTTTCTCCTGCTGCATTCTTTATACTGTTTTTTTGCAAAGCTTTTAAAAATCATATTCTGTCCATTAGCCACAGAAACAGCCTTTATTATGTGTACTCTCTCTCTTTTAATTGGACATAACATCACTATTAAATAAGGAGACAGAGGGAGATAACCAGAGAATTCATATATGTTAGGGACAGCTTCAGCTATTCTCTTAATATGCTTTCATGCATCTCCATGAAGTGTGTTGTTGTCCTACACAATCGATAAGGATTTTCACTTTTAATGTTGCCTGGAAAAAAATCATTCCCATTTCTTCTGTTAAAAAAAATGTGAAAAAGTGAGCAGTGTTATTTTCCCTGATGTTCTCTCTGCAGTCTTAAGGTTTGCTTCCAGTTCTTATGTTGCTGTAGAAGCAGAACCTTACCAAACATGTTTCTCTTACTTTTTAGTCTAGAGTAAGTAGTAATTTCAATGGACAGTTCATGGATGTCCTGTGGCACATGAAACCTGCCCAAGATTGTCTGAGGTTCAGCTGGGCTTTTCCAACCACCTGTTTGTAAACTGGTTCCCAATACTCGTTCACAGACAGCAGGCACAGAGAGGTTTGGGTGGATGTACAGAATCATTATGCTAAAGTCATAAGAATTCTATTCCTAGGATAGGCTACCTGCAGGGGGAAGTGGCAATGAGGGCCTGCTGATAGCCTAGAAGCAAGGAGTGAAGCAGCAAAGACAAAAACTGTGAATCCAAAAGCAGTGTCAGCTAACTTTTTTTTTTTTTTTTTTTTTTGCTTATGGAAAACCCATTTGTGCATTTCGAACTAGACGTGGAATGGTTTGATGTAAATTCAGAGAAGGGTCTAAATGAGTTTACTTAGTTTGCTAAAGAGATTGCTTCTAAAACACATGCCCTTGTTACTCAGTATCAGACTTTTAAAACAGTTATTCACATTGTGAATTGCTTTATCAGTTTTTGCTATGGTTGAAGAAGACAACTGCAACATAATATGGAAACATGAAAATATGTAACTTTCATGATAATTGAATTGCTGCCATGACTTTATTAAATATGAAAGTAAACCTATACTGTATAGTATACCTCCAAAGGAAAATGTCTTTATCTTTGCCTAAGCTTTACAGATGGGAGGGGCTATGCTTGGAGACAGGCCAGGGGTTCTTGTTGGCTTGTACAACTGTGCATTGACCCTTGGATGCCATGTGTCATCTGGTTCTCAAGTATTACACAATCAGCTCAGCTTTATCTTCTGCTTTTTGTATAGGTGCTTGTTAGACATATTATTAAGTGTTATAGTTTAGGGACAGAAGTCTATCTGGCAGATGGAGCCAAGAAATGCACGAAAAATCACACCGTGCAACTGATATCACACAATAGATTTATTGGGGATGGTATGTGGGACAAAGACCACATCTAAGTGGGTACACGAGAGAGATAGAGACAAAGAAACAGAGATAGAGACAGAGATAGAAACAGAGAGATGGAGACAGAGAGACAGATAGAGACAGAGAGATGGAGACAAGAAACAGAAATAGAGATAGAGAGGCAGAGACAGAGAACAGGCTGTGATGACAGTGACTTTTTAATGGGTATATGTGTTGTATTTGGTGGCTGGTGATGAGCCCCTGGAGGAAGACTGGGAGAGCTACTGGTTCCTAACAATAAAATTTTCATCTGCTTTAACCTCAGGTTCAACAATTTGTTCAATGGCAAAACGTTAGTTACTCTGGTGTTAGTATAGAAGAATTATGTATTTAATGTCCATTGCTGCCTTTTAATATTATGGTACTAGTATTACTGCATTTGTGTGTTTTAAGTACTAAACTGTTTGAATTTAAGTACTGAAACATCAAAGAAACTGTCTTCATATACATTCTAATAGTTTTAAACAAATATTATAAAATTTGTTTTAGAGTTATTAAATTGCTCAAAATAATTTTATAAGAAGTTACTTGATTAATATGGCACAGCATTTGGATTAACATATTATTATTATGTGAGAAATGAAAATGCCAGCAGGACTAAATTTAGATTGAGAACACTTTTATGAGAACACACTGTCTGCTAACACACTTGGCATTCAAGGATCTCATATCATATTCAAATAGAGAGTAGTGTGCACAATGAATGAACTGGTGACCTAAAACAAGACACATGGCCACATTGTTTTGTGAGAGCACTCTGTTGCCCTCTAGTGGACAGCACAGCTCAGGAGACTCTTCCTGCATTTGGAATTTGACACTACCCCATTTGAAACTGTCTTTTGTCTTTTTAATGTAGCTCACAAGTCAGCAGTGTAGGTAGTAAAGCCAGAGTTTACACATACCTGTCTGTGCTCTCTGAGTTTTCTAAAAAAGAAAAAAAAAAAAAAAAAGGTCAAGGACATTCTTCGCATTTGAAAACCTTCTTTGTGGTTTTGGATTTCTCATCTTCCTTTTCACTGACTTGAAAGTTGATGGCTGATGGTGATGAGAGGTGTGGAACTTTCAGTGTGTATTTACAGAACTCATGGTGTGTACTGTGTTTTGCTTAGGAAATGAGGATTAAGCCCTTTATAATGATCCTGGATTATTATTATTTCTTTTAGAATCCTGAATTATTTTTGAGCACTTATTAGTGATGCTTTCACCTCAACAAAAAGTATTTGTTTTAAATCTATTAAAATTTCTTAAATAATGATATGGTAACTTTGATTATGAAAGTTTTACATTGTTTTGGGGGTCTTGAAGTTATGAACATGCCTGGAGGAGGTTTGGACAGTGCTTCAGAAAGAAAGCCAAAAGCTTGTGAAGAAGGAAAGAGATACTTTGCAGAGTTCCATGTTTCAAGATGACTTTCTTCCTATGGAGTTATGAAATGATAGATAGACTCTTAGATCCAAAAGAATAATATAATAATCATATGGACAACATTAACACCTCCCTAAAGAGGAACTATCTGAACCAGGGAAGTCTTTAGGACTCCATACGCTGGCTAATTTCTTTCCTGAATCCAGTCTTGCATTTCCTTCTTGGAATTCTTGCCACAGCTGGAGAAGGTCAAAACTGATGTGACTTCTGCCAGAGGATTTCCCTGTGTTTTATTTATTTTCTTCTTTTCTTTCCTTTTTTATGTTCATAGTATATCTTTCTCTTAGTCTTTAATGATTGAATTTAACAGTTATTTCAAAATATTAGTTTTTTATGAACACAGTTCACTTTTTATCTTTTCACATGTATTTATCCCCATTTGCATTCTCGGAGATTTAAATAATGTAAATGAATAAGATTCCAGGCTAAGATTGTGGTACCTGATAGGCAGTAATCTTATGCTAAGTCAGCTTCTTAACTCTAAACTGTGCTAACCCGTTGGCTAAGAGATAAGATTCTGAACAAATTCAGCTCATTTCTTGGGTTTGTTTGTTTCTTTATTACAGTATTGCTTTCAGAAATTTAATTCTTTTCTTTGTGGAATAGTTTTCTGATGTGTTATTGAAGCTAAAAAAATATAAATGCAGTAATTTTAT